GCTGAGACAAATGCACTTACTTGAATTGAAAAATATTTGTAAGAGCATTCCATGTATCTAAATTAATGGTTACTCTGGTTGTCAGAAGGAGCATTAACCTTAAGTCCTCCTAAGGAACTCGGCATTCACGATGAGGCGTTATAACTCCTCTACATGAAGACCTAACTCCCAGGGCACAGTGTAATGGCTTGAATTATTTTTCTGGTTAGCGTGTCTGTAGCGAGTTTGCTTTCTATAATATGGGGTCGCTAATCTCATGCTCAACGCTCCTCCTTTATCCGGAGTTGGGATCGGCAGTAGCCGCAAAGGGGCTCCAGACAGGGAATGAAATCCAGTGGACCAGTACTCCCTCGATTCTACGGTAGACTAAAAATACACAAACCAAACATCCCACTACGTCCAATAGTAGCACTCCCCGGAACGCCAAAATACAATTTGTCAAAAGAAATTTCACGAATACTGAGACATCTAGTAGATTCAGCCAAACACTCCATCAAATCCCCAACACAATTCCTTGACCAAATTAAGGATATTCAAATCAACAACGACGAACTCATGATATCCTTCGACGTAACAGCACTGTTCACCTCAATTGAACCACAGCTAGCAAAAGAAACTATATCCCTGCTACTCAACAACGACACAAATCTCACCAAATACACGACGCTTCAAATTAAAAGTATACTAGAACTCATCGATTTATGCCTTACAAAATACTTTCAATTCAACAACAAAATCTACGAACAAACAAAAGGGACACCAATGGGATCACCAATATCAGGACTGATCGCAGAAGCAGTGATGCAAAGACTAGAAGCCACGATATAACCAGTGATCAAGCCAAAAATTTGGATTCGCTACGTAGACGACACCTTTGTCATCGTCAAAAAGGATGAACTGGAAAACACATACAAACTGATCAACAACGTTTTCAACGACATCAAGTTTACAATCGAACAGGAGTCAAACAACCAAATAGCATTCTTGGATATATTGATCACTAGAACCGATACAGGAAAACTGGAAACTCAAGTATATAGGAAACCGACCCATACAGATCAAATCCTCAATTACAACAGCAACAACTCAAGAGCTCACAAAATCAACTGCGTACACACATTGTTCAAGAGGGCGAGGACACACCGCAACACACTGGCAGCACGAAGAAATGAAGAGAAATACCTGAAGGACATATTTCAAAAGAACGGCTACCCAATCAACTTCATCAAAAAGCACCAACGGCACACAGCATCAGAACGCAAATCAAGCACAAAAATCAACAAAAGGATCACCCTACCGTACATACAAGGAATATCAGAAACCACAACGAGACTGCTGAAAACCTTCGGGATAGGTGTGGCACACAAACCAACAAAATCATTACAATCAATCCTATGCAAACCAAAAGATGAAATAACAAAGGAAAACAAATCAAACATCATCTACAAAATAAATTGTACCAACTGTGAAAAACGCTACATCGGACAAAGCGGACGCCCCCTCCACCTACGCCTACATGAACAATTAGCAGTCAAACGCCATGATATCTCTTCACTTATATCAATACACGTAGATAACTACGGACAATTATTCGATTGGGAAAATGTAGAAATCTTAGACAGAGGAAACTCCAAAAACACCAGAGAATTTTTAGAAGCTTGGCACTCAGGTCAATCAGCAATCAACAAACATATTGAAATCAATCCAATTTATCAACCAATCAGGAAAATCATGCATAAATATAGGAACAAAAATCAAACCAACGGGAGACACAACCAAAACAAAGAAGTAAACAATGATAAATTTAAGGTCAACAAGAACCAATCAACATCGAGGTGCACAGAACAAGCTTTGAAACACATATGGAGAAATTCGAACACTTCACTTCTATCTGAAGTTTGTGCTGATGATGTCGTTCAGAAGAACGATGAAAGCTCTACGACCAAACCATCCAGCTCAGAGAACAAAACACCACCGAAAACGAGTTGAGCCGCAGTCTATCCAATGTCAGCTTTCACTGCATTGCGGATACCCAGTAAGACGAGTGGAAGAGCGTCGGTCCACTGTGAAACGTTTGCAGCTGATAGTGAAGCTTTTAGTTGTCGGTGAAAACGTTTTACCAACCCGTTTGCTTGTGGGTGGTAGGCTATCGTTCGGAAGTGAGTGATTCCTAAAAGTGTGGTCATACGACGGAGAAGTTCAGATTCAAACTGACGTCCGTGGTCTGTAGTGATAGTTGAAGGGGAGCCGAAGTTTGCTACCCATCGTTCGACGAAGGCGCAAGCCACTGTTTCAGCAGTGATGTCCTTGATAGGTACTGCTTCTGGCCATCGAGTGAAACTGTCTACGCAGGTTAAGAGGTAAGAGTATCCATTTGAATCTGGTAAAAGTCCTACCAAATCCAGATGAACATGGTCGAAACGAGCACCGGGAGTTTTAAATGAGCCTAAGGGACATTTATTGTGTCTGATGACCTTAGATTTTTGGCAGCTTACACAGGAGCGTGCCCACTCCCCCACGTCTTTATTCATGCCAGGCCAGCAAAACCGTTCTGCTACAAGCTTGATGGTTGCACGATCACCTGGATGAGAAGGTTCGTGCAACGTATTGAAGACGTTGCGTCGATTACGCTTCGTCATGATTGGGCGATCCCTACCTGTAGATGTCTCACACAGTAAGGTTTCCTTACCTGTTCCCATCTGTTTGATGCGTAGCTTGAGGGTTGTAGACGATAACTCGTGCTGAAGATCAGTGTCTTCTTTTTGAAGCTCGGCGAGATTAAGAAGGTCGATTCCTTGGAAACTGTTCAAGGAAGTTATTCGAAACAAGGCGTCTGCGACAACATTGTTTGCTCCAGAAATGTGTTGGATGTTTGAAGTAATTTGCGAAATGTAGTCCAGTTGTCGAGACTCACGAGGTGAGTACTTGTCAGAAGAAGAGCTTAAAGAGAAGGTAGGCGGTTTATGGTCAGTGAAAATGGTAAATTCGCGGCCTTCGATATAGTGTTGAAAATGCCTTACAGCACAATACATAGCTAGAAGTTCCCTACCGAATGTGCTGTACCTCGATTCGGTGTCTAGCAACCATCTAGAGAAAAATGCCAAAGGTTGCCAGGAGTTGTTAACCCATTGTTGTAAGACGCCTCCGATTGCTGAGTCGGATGCGTCTACTGCGATGCCAGTGGGTGCTTGAGTGTCCTGATGTGCGAGCATTGTTGCTTTAGCGATAAGTTCCTTAACTGTGGAGAATGATTTTCGTGCGGTGTCGTCCAAATTGATGGATTTCGCATTTCCACGAAGTTGGTCGGTAAGAAGTTTCATAAGTAACGCGCATTTAGGTATGAATCGTCTATAGAAACTTACGAGGCTGTTAAACGTAATTGCTTGACCGTGGTCGGTTCTGGATAATCCAGAGTGGCCACCACTTTGGTTCTGAGGGGTCGAATGCCTTGGGCATCGATAGTATGTCCTAGAAAGTTTAATGAGTCAGTTCCGATTTGGCATTTCAGAACGTTCACAGTAATGCCATGTTTTTGTAGTCGATCGAAAACAAGATCTAGATGCTTGAGATGCGATTCTCTGTCCGGACGTGTTATTAGACAGTCGTCAACATACGCATGTACGAAGTTGAAACCTCGAAAAACATCGTCTATAAACCTTTGGAAGGTTTGTTTAGCGTTTCTTAGATCGAAGTGCATTCGCGAAAATTCGTAATGTCTGAAGGGAGTTATGATAGCTGTTTTCGGAATGTCGTCAGTGGCCATGGGAAGTTGGTTATACGCTTTAACCAAGTCGATTTTCGAAAAAACAGTGGTACCTTTCAAGGTAGCTGTCAAATCGTGAATGTGAGGCAACGGGTAACGATCGGGAATGGTTTTCGCGTTCAATCGCCGATAGTCACCAGTTGGACGCCAATCGTTGCTGTCCTTTTTAGGGACCATGTGCAACGGAGATGCATATGGGCTACTTGACGGTCGTATGATTCCTAAGTCCATCATGTGATCGAATTCGTTTTTCGCTAACCTTAGCTTTTCGGGAGCTAGTCGTCGTGCTTTAGAAAATACAGGTGGTTCTGTAGTCGTGATGTGGTGTGTAACGTTGCTGGTTACACACGATAGTTTCGGTTGAGTTTGTTGTATCCTAGGGTACTTATAGAGTAGTGGCTGATAGAGTGGGTCTATCATATGTTTAGTTGTGACTGGGGATAATTTGCAACCAGTAAAAGAAGTTACGCAAACGGATAAATTAGTGTTTCCGTCTACTAGCTTCCGTTTGCGCGTATCGATGATCAGATTGTGATGTTGTAGAAGGTCCATACCAATGATTGGCATGGAAACATCTGCAACATCGAAGATCCAGTGAATGGGTTTGCGAAAACCCACGTTAAGGTAAACGTACCTTTTGCCATACGTAGCGATCGGTTTTCCGTTTGCCGCCTGTAAGTTTAAAGCCTATTCGTGAAGCCGGTCGTTGGAATTCGCTGGGAGAACGCTTACTTCTGCGCCAGTATCGACGAGGAAACGAACTCTCGTTGCCACATCTGTGACGTTCTGCTGCTATAGTAGTTTTTTCATAATTGCACCGCTGGAGACAAACTGCATTTCTCTTGTATTATAGCTACTAAGTGACTGATCATGGGCATAGCTGAAACTCGAAGTGGCTTCTTGACAAGAAAATAAAAGCATTACGCTTTCCTCAGGTCATAGTAATGGTGGTGAATATAAAAATCTATTCATCCTGTTGTTGAATATCGGGACACCTCAGAGGACATAGCAGGCGAGTAGAAAAGCCAAGAACGAACAAAATACCCGTGGCATACAGGTTTTCACACCGAGTCATCAACTTGGAACCTGCTGCCTGAAGCAGTGGTGTCTGCACCTTCAATTGACTCTTTCGAGAGAAGACTGGACACTCACAGAAGCATACTAGAAAAGGATTAACAAAGGCCGTAGGCCTTCTGTCCTTAATACACACATTTGGATCTGAATCATATTTGACTGCATGCGTTACGCAAGTGGGTTCATTGTATTGTTTGTCGAATTACTTGCTTCTGAGTGTTATGTATATAACAACAACTAATATTAGTTGTTGTTTTTAAGCACCAATCTAATGCTCAGTGTTTTGTGGGAACAATATGAATATTCGATCTGCTATCAATAATTCTGAGTGATTATACAACTCTATTGTATTATAGGCTATATGGTGTGAGCACTAGTATAAATCTTCAACTTCCTGAGGATTCATTTGCTTAACTGGTTTATATTATGCTGATATTTTATCCTACATTCTGCCTAATTGATGAATTCTATTTAGATGAAACTAATAATTCGGCGCTGTGATGAACCATCTGCTTGATTTCATCTCGGTTTTTTGGCTTCTAAATACCACACTTCTATGACTGTACGTGAACCTAGTTGACGAGATTTTGTTTTTAGGCAAAGAAAAATAGACATGTACTAAATTGGACTCCTGAAGATGTTGTCAAATGGTTACATAAATATGCCAGTCCAGTCGGTGCAAAATATTCTGAACTGTTTGAAACAAACAGGATTAATGGTAACTATTTCGTCTAGCGCTGACATTTCTTTCTTTAAGGGATGTGTTTACGTCTGATGACGGATGAGTGGCTACTTCGATTAGGAGTAGTCAATCAAAACGATAGGTACCTCTACATTACCAGTGACTTTTAACTTTTCTTTTACTAGGTCAGCTCTTATGAGTCATATATATCGGATGCGTCTTAAGTACGATTCTTCAGATTTGTCGGATATGCTTAAAAACAACTAACATCTGTACTTTGTGTAAATAAACATTTCATTGAGAAAGCGTTTTTTTGCTTTCATTTTCTTTCAACAAGCAACATAATTTGTTTACTTTTTAAGATGGCTTCAGGTGCTGTAAGTCGAACAGCTCCTATTTTTCAGTTGGGTAAATGTCTTGCCGTTCCGATGCAGTTGCATGTAGCCAATCGTCAGCGTCTTTGCAATCGCATTCGGGACAAAATATCTTCGCTTGATACTAGCAAATCTCTCACACACAACCTTTCTGGTGTGTTTGTTGTGCTACAGGGTGGCACTGATACCTTTCTGGGAGATTCGGATGCTGCCAATGTATTTCGTCAGGTAGGTCCATTTCATATGATTTTTAAAAATGCATGCGTAGGATTTGTGACTGAGACATTTATTCTCATAATCCCACATATTTCATCTAATTTTGGGCATAGAATGATTATAATGTTTTTCCTGCTTAGAGCACAATCTCTTTTGCTTCAATGAAAGTTGACAATTCAGGTACACTTATTACCACGTGGTTATTATGATTACGAAGTTAACCATGACTAAGGACTGTACATGTATGTAGAGTAGTTATTGTGTTCATGATTTTATAAGCTATTGATTTATGTGCTATTGCATAGTCTAAGAGTTTAGTGGTTAAAGTATTCGACTTTCAGTCACTAAATCACAGGTTCGAGTTCCACCTCAACCACTACGGTGGATAGAGCAAAGTACTATTTTACAACTAATTATCTAGAAGTTATGTAGGTATATTTACTGTGTAACTAGCTGTCAAATATCGTCCAAATGATAAAAATTAGTATATCGACATTTATAAGTAAAACTGTGGGTAGACACAAATCTATATATATATATATATATATATATATATATATATATAATCTGTAATTAGACTAAGACTTAGTTAACAGACCCTATACACTGGTATATTATTCCGAAGGAATATTAGTTCTTTGTGAGACGCAAAGCAATTACTTTGAAATAATTGATTTCATTCTCTATCAGTCAAAGTAAAGGGCTAGCGTAATGAGTACATTTTCTTTCCAAGTCTTCTCGTCAGTTATTTGTTCTTTATTTAGGACTGTTGGGTTTGGTTTGGAATAAAGAATGAAATCACTACTATTATCAAGATACATGTCTGTCAGCGGCGTCAATTTCAAACTAGACGTTTTAGCTGAAGTAAAATGGAAACCTTGTTAATAACCTATTTTTTAAAGTCAATTGTTAAACGAAGATATCAGAGGTTCATTTGCTTAAACTAGACTGTAACAGGTTTTCGTCCAACTTCAATTATAAGTGATATACCGTTCATTGGTCCTCTAATAAAAAATTGCATTTAGGTAGAACCAAAGTATGGATCATTTGTTGGATTTTATGGCATTTATAATTTCACCCCTGGTAGTAACACTTAAAACATAGTTTAGGAGAGCATCAGGCTTTCACAGTCTAGGAAGAATAATATCGTCAACTTTCTGCATATATATATATATATATATATATATATATATATATACTGAAGGAATAGCTATCGCTTGGAAATACATCACTAACGAACGTGAATAGTCGAATAGACTATTCACCGTTGGTCAACATCACTTGAAAGTTTTCCTCTACTTTGATTATTTTTTTTATATAATATCGAATACGTCCAGATAGCCACTTGATTGTGCAGTCGGGTGAAGTTTAATTCACTTGGTATTGTTTTACTTGAATCTTCCCATTGATGTTTAGGACTGAAGTTGATCAATCAATTATTGGCATATGTGCATACTGTGTGTATTGCCTCTATATTGCCTTAATTTACAAAGATCATAGGCAAAGATGGATAGTGGCTAGCAGTGGAATCCAGGATTCGCTTCCTTTCGGTTATCAGGACTCAGTAGCTAAGTGGATAACGCGATGGCGTTTGAAGCGAACGGTACTGGGTTCGAGCCCCAAAGTGAACATCAACCCCGAGATGCAGGTACATCCAGGTGACGAGTCCCAAATGGGACGAAACGCGCGTCCTGGATTTCACTGCTAGCCACTATCCATCATTGCTTATGTCAGTGTATACAGTTTGGTGTTAATCCTGGAAAACTTATATAAAAGATGAGACAATGAAATATTAGCAAGGTGATCTTTGTGGTGAAATATGGCCTCTCAACCTGTGGAAATATTCCAGCTTACACAATGAAAACTGCAAAAACACATTCTAGAGGAAATTATTATCGTATTTCCACAAAGGAGTATCAACGTTTGTTCTCTTCTTGTTATTATTATTATTATTATTATTATTATTATTATTAATCTAAGCGTAAGTTATGGTCATAATTCATGTATTTTTATTTAATTCGAAATAGGAATCATTCTTCCATTGGACTTTCGGTGTTCTCGAACCAGATTGTTATGGGACAATTGAAGTGGCTACTGGACGTTCTACACTTTTTATCCCAAAAATACCAGAAGAAGCTACTATATACGACGGTGAATTAGCTTCGCTTGAACAGTTTTCAAAAAAATACAATGTAGATGAAACTCACTATACAGATGAGGTAATCTTGCTGGAAAATGTTTTGCAGAATTATTTTTAAGAAATTTTCATTAACATAAGAGATTTATGTTTAATTTTTAATTCACATCACAGACCGACGTTGGCAGATTGACTCAAGTTTGTAATATAAACGATATAATCTATAGGCAAAATGCACTTACTAAACGAGACCCGATGTTTACTGGACTCCATCTATGGGGATTTAGTGGGTACCCATTATGCCTTGGATGAGTTCCATATTAGAAGTAAATAGATGTCTAGCTAAAATCACTTAGTGTTATTCATTGTAAAGGATATCGATCAAGATAAATTCATTTACTGTGAATTAAAACGAATTATTCAAGATTATCTATAAAAGTGAGTAGAACAACGAAGAACTTAGTTCATATTGCTTAGGTAACCTAGTTTTTATTAAAAATGTGATATTGTGGTATTTTTACCAACTGATAATTCCTTTGTACTTGGTTGGGCGCTTACTACAAATTTCAAATATATGTCCAGTTGTGGTCATCTAGTTATACCTGCTTTAAATTGCACTATTTCGGGCATTCTTAGTCGTCACACTAATTCGAACACTTCTAATCATCATATTGGGGTTACAATTGAGTCGAATCTCAGACATTTGGATATTAATTTAAGTGAGGATGACTTTGAAGACTACATGGATCGGTTCGAAATGTGGTGCGTTACTAGAAAATATGTCAAAGATAATAAATTCACAGCTGATTTCTTGACGTTCATTGACAAAGAAGCTTATAGCCTGCTAAAGAATCTGGCTTTTCCAGAGAAACCATTTTCATTGTCATATGGATCTCTCAAGGGGTTACTAATTAATCATGTTAAGTGTGCTGGCTTTGAAAGAAGAAAGTGGTCAAAGTCTCATAAAATGATGCGAATAAATGATCAGAAAGTTGTGGACTCTATACTAGAACTACAGAAACAGGTTGCGGGTCGCTCTAACTCGCGTTTATTTAATAATAGTTTCCATTCTCGTGGAAATATGAAAATTGATTCAGCAAAGAATTTCGTAGCAGGTTACAGAGTTGAGTACAGGAATGGGAAGTGCTTATCCTGTGGTAAACTTCACGTAATTCATGCATCCTTCGTCATGCCGAATTCTTTAAGTATGATAAAATGGGACACATCAAATCGGTCTGTAAAGCTACTGTTCATGTTGCCGCAAGTAATACTAAACTTTGTAGTTCGGATTCTATTAATTTCGGTGATTTTAATAATCATATACTATCCTTATTTACAACTTCCAGTAATTCACTTCATATTCAAAAACGATCATATTTGTCCAGTGGTGCTTTTCACGATTTTATTGTTGACACTGGTAGTATCAAATCTATCATGTCAGTTGGAAAGTCGATGTTATTAAATCCCTACGCTATAATTATGCCTACCAAAGTTTATTTTGAGTATTACTGGTCATAAACTTCCTATTCTTCGATGTTGTAATTTACTGATTAGGGGCGGCAAATCTTAAATCCTAAATTGTGAATTCCTCATCACTGATTGTGAACCGTCTATCCTGGGTCTAGAACATTTGATAATACCTCAAAGTCAGTTTTGCTTATTGACCAATAAAGACAGTTCTGATGAAAAGCTTGATAACTTGTTAACTATGGAATCGAAGTGCCAAGAATTACGCACAATTTCGAAGCCCTCTTATTTTGATGCTCAAGAAAGAAATGTCAAGATCTTGAAAACAGATCAATTTTGTTACTGCTGCAAAATTCAAAGACCCGGAGAGGAGAGGAGATAAAGTTCTTCAGTGCGGAATCACCAGACCGTATGCAAAATAAACAATCATGAAGTCGCTTAAACAAGAAAATCTTCGTACAATAACTGGTTTTCCACAAGCTACGAAAGGTCTGCTAAAAGTGGTTGATAAATCTATGGTTTGCGAACCAGTCACAACAACCAAATACGTTACAATAACTTAGGTGATTCTGTTGTTAATTCTAAAACTAATGAGTGCATTCTAGACCATACAAAGTCTATCGAATATACATCCAAAGAGATAAATGATGAATCTAAGGAGAAGTATAATCGATTACGAAAATTTGGATTCCCATTTAAGCTGTAGCGGCTGTGCTATTTGTACAAACTAATAATTCTTTTGTATCTGATTACCCTCTGGTTAAAAATTACATATAAAATACGTTTATTCGTGTTCAACTAGTTCTACCTGCCTTAAATTGCACTTTTCCGGGAATTCTTAGCACGTTAATTAGAGTACCTCTTATTACCATAGGTATCCAAATAGCAATTATTATCTTTTGAACAAGAGTTGGATTCTGTACAACCTAATAATATGTTATATAAAACTTTGGTACTTAACAGTTTTGAGTTACAACTATCAGAAAGGGTGTCGATACATTGTTCTGTAAGTAAATCCAACTGACAAGTCACTGCCAAAAATAAGATGAAACAGATATTTCTATCATGAACTT